GTACCTCAAGGGAGGCAGTGAGGAGGATGGGGCGGCCTCTTCTCACTGGTGGCCACCAACAAAACTAGAGGTAATGGCGACAAACTGAAGCACCAAAAGTTCCACAGGAACTTAAGGAAAAATTCCTTCCCAGTGAGGGTGCCAGAGCCCTGGAACAGGCTGCCCAGAGAGGTTGTGGAGTCTCCTTCTCTGGAGATCTTCAAACCCGCTTGGACGCAGCCGTGTGCCACGTGCTCTAGGTGACCCTGTGTGTGCAGGGGTTGGACTGGATGATTCCCTAGAGGTCCCTTCCAACCTTGAGCATTCTATGATTCTATGATTCTATGACCGGAGTGAAGCACGCACGGGCCACATGAGCTACGAAGTCCCTGGTTTAGCTAAACTGCTGTTGGCTGCAAGGGCCCAGGGCTGGGGTCTGTATCCTGCCACGCAGCAAGAAAGGGAGAAAGGTGCAAAAAAGCCACGTTCCAAACGGCGCGGAAACGGGGCTCACCTCGCTGTCCTCCGCGGGCGGCGGCGGCGGCTCCTTGATGATCTGCAAGGACCAAAGAGAAACAGAAGGGTAAATGCAGCTGCGTTCCTCAGCACAGCACAAACGTCCCCGGAATGATCCACAGCCAAAGCAGACCGGGACTGGAGATGGAAATGAAGGGAAAGGCCCTGGAAGCACCGTGAAGCAGCAACAACCCCCCGGCCTCCTGCTACCCAGGCCAACACTTCGTGCCTTGAACTGTCATGCCTGATTTTTCCCCTGTCAGGCTGATATATTGCACTCCCATAAGGCTTTTTTTAAAAGAGATGTCTATATATCTATATGCATGTATGAGCACATATATACATACAGGCACACCCTGATATATGTGCATTTGGGGCTCTCCCAGCATTTCCAACTAATAAAGCAGCCAGGGTGAGGTTTTAGACTGGTCCAGGATATTCTCCATAGAAACAATTGGAGTTTATGTGGGCGTGAGGCTGTTATTTCATGCAGAAAGTTTGCATCGGAGGCTCTGCAGGCAGCTGGCCGCTCTCACCGCCCCGCATCCAAGAGCAACAGGGAGCTTTCCAAAGGGAAGGCAGTTGCAAAGAGGCACGTCAAACATTTCTCCCCTACACCAGATGCAAAGCTGCTCCGGTTTGGATGCAGGCGGCCGCGGCGACGTGATGGCCCCGGGGATGGATTTTCTCCAGGAGGTTGAAGCCCGGCTGGAAGGAGGAGTTTTCCCCCTCTCCAAGGGCTGCTCCTCCATGGAGACGCTTCCCAGGAATGGGGTGCACACGTGCAGGGCTAAGAGCTGCCCTTCAAACACCAAACATCCCCGTCTGAAACAGCAACAGCTTGGTCGTTTAAATGCAGCGAGAGAAAACGACAGGCGCGCAAAGGCCCTGAAGATATAAATATTTACAGCAATTCCTCTCACTCGTGTTTTTCCCTCTCTGATGAGCTCACTGTTTTTATTTTCTTCTGCAAAGCACCAGTCATGCAATGTGGCCGTTAATGAGGAGCATGTGCCCTTGGCAGGGAGGAGATGGGGGCTGCGTCCGGCCTTTACGTCTCGGTGCGGAGCGAGGACGGCTGGAGCCCTCTGTCCCTGCCTGTCCCTGGGCCACAGCGCTCCTGGTGGCCTCAGGGGCCTTGAGGAAGCCTTGCCAGCAGATGACGAGAAATTGAAGATATCCGACCCAAAATATGCCCTGCTGGAAGTGGCCGTATTCTCTCCTCTGATAATATTCTGGTGTAGCAGCATGGAGTTTCTCTTGATTTGCATTGGCATGAAACATCAGGATAATCCGGCCAACATACTTGGTCTGGTTATGGATTTAGATGCAGCTTCTTAGCCAACAGCACTGGAAACTCTTGAGATTAAGACTTGGAAATTCATTTGATGGATGGGAGGAATTCATTGAAGGATGGGTGTGATTTCCACGTACTTGTGTTCCTTCTTGCAACGCACACACATTAACCTCAATTTCTATGAACAGATCAAACTTGATCTGCTATGTGCTGAGAGGAAGAAAAGGTGAAGACTTCCACTTCGCTTCCACCAAGTGAGGTCTAACAGCAACTGAACATGCCATAAATTCATGGAATTAATGCTTGGTTATTTTAGACAGCTCTGGAGATGCAGAGAGCTCTGTCTCTGAGCCTGCAGGAGCTTTGGAAGTCCAAGTCATACCAAAGACAGCGTCTGACTTGCTGCCCAGGTTTGGGAAGGCTTTTGATCCCTCAACAGCACAAATCCTTTCTTTAATTTGGATCCTGGTAGTTACAGCCGTGCCGGCACATGGGACCCTCATTCCGGGGTGCTCGTGCCAGCGAAGTGAATGGGATTTTTGTCCCATCGCACACCAGCAATCCAACCAAAGCTAAATAGGAATAACGAGAGCCCAGCCAGAAGGCAGTGCCTCGCTCCTGCTGCTCTTCCAGAAACAAATACTCAAGTGCAAGGAAGAAAACGCCATGGCAGGGAAGCCAGGGAGGCTGCAGCCCGTCCTGGCGCCGGAGCTGCGGATCCAGTGCGGTCCCTTCTGCCTCTTTGGCCTCACGGATGACACAGGGACCTGCTCAACACACACATGGCCAAGCAAGATGCTCAGTCCCATTTAGCTTGGCCAGGGCCGCGTGTTTGTTCGTGTGGGCTGCAAAGTGTTGTGATAACCCCAAGCCACTTCTGCTCTTGCTGCTGCGACTGCATCCCCCATCCCTGCGCTTGCAAGAGGGAAACTGGGATCATTCCTCGGCCGCCTGCGCTTGCGAGGGGAGGGATAGCAAAGGGTTTCTGTTAAGCGAGCGCGTGTTGCATCCAACTTCTGCATGCTCCAGGAACGTGTCTAGGAGCTTGGGAGAGAACAAAACTCCAGCGGTTTGCCGTGTCCAGCAAATGCAAATTTTCCCTGGAGTTTTATATGATAAATAGGGGCAATGTGTTCCTTGTCCTGAAGCGTAGCTGCTGTGAGGCTGAATAAAACAGCAGCTAAAATGAGGGTCATGTGCAAAAACAATGCAAAGTTGGATATAAAAGACCCTGCTTCTAACTGGACCCAAAGCTTGGGAAGGGTCTAGAATTTGTCCTAATTTACATTCACTCCTTTGCCAATTATATAACATGTATTTTTGCTGTCTTAGGAGGAGGATTTTTAATAGTATTTACTTTGACACACTGGTGAAAAAAAAACAGCAGTTAAAGACATTTACAAGTAAGCAGGAAAAAGCATCAGGGAAACACGCTGCAATTCCCCCTTGGGGTGTTGGAAAGCAGGAATCTGGAGCCATAAAAACTATCGTCCCGGGACAGCCCCAGGTCCGTAGGCTCCTCTGCATTCCCAGACACTAATGGATCAATACAATGCATCCTTCTTCCTAAACCTTTAGCAAGGTGGTAAATGAAATCCAGCCCATGAGCTAACTCCTACCTTTCAGCTAACCTCTTGTTGACACAGAATCTATTTATTCGTATTTATTCCTGTCTCTTCCTCTCGGCTTCTCTCCCTAATAGACGATTCCTGACCCCATGCTCCCTTCTCCCTGAGTTATCCCGACTGTGGCAAAATTGCCTCCTGTGCACAGGGAGCGAGTGGGAATCAGGATGCACGGAGCCTTGCTGCTCATCCCCATCAAGCCAATGCACACATGGAATTTGATGCCTTTTCAGGGTTCCTGTAACGTCAATACTTTTCCTCCCCTCCTCTTCCTCCTGTTTAGCTGTCATTTTCATGTGTTTTTAATATACGTTTACTGTATTTTCTCCATCCAAGTTTTTGTTTCCAAAACTCTCGGTCAGCTGCAGCGCAGACCGAGCGCCAAACAAATTGCCGGCTTCTTCCACGCAGCCTTCCAGAAAGCGGCGTCAAGTGGGAATGGGTGTCTGGACGCTGAAATACCAACCCCTCATTTCCATGGGGGCCCTGGATCTAAAGAAGCTGCAGTAGGAAAATGAGCGAGATGAGACATAGATTGGGAAGGGGCAATTGCTGCAGACCAGCTGCTTGCGGGGGCCGTCAGCGTAGCAGAATTTTCCTTTCTTTCCCATAGTTGTTGAGTAAATATCCTTGAATTCGAAGGTTAGCACCCGGCTCCAATGTCTTTCTGTTGTCCCCTGATTTCAAGGGAATTTTTGCCTGCTGTCAGGCACGGCAAAGGTCTAAGAGTTGGTCTGATCTACTGAGCAACTATTGCATCTACTGTAAACCAAGTGGTAAATTCCAGACTTCATCCCAGAATAGCTCTGAGACCAATAAACTTGGATATACTTGGCAATAGCCTTTCTTGGTGCATGCCAAGGAGATACTGGGTTCCAGATAAATCCCTCGGGTAAGTCTATTGACTTCAGCACATTACTCCTGGGATGAAGCTGGCTCGGAGTCTTTCCTGGAGAACTGCTGGATAAGAGCGATCCTATTGAATCAGAAAGCGTGCCAGGAGGAATTTCAGGGTTTAGAAATGTGCTTGTCACTCAGAAACAAATTTATTCTTGGTAAGAAAAACAGGTTTTTTTTCCCCCGGACACATCCAGAGTCGTCTGAAGCGTCCCCTGGGCTCGAATCCACAGCAGTGTCTCTAGGTCTGCGGTTGGATTATTCGAGGTTGCTGCTCGCCTGCCTTTCCTGCACGTTAGTGCATTAGCAGTGTCCTCTGGTCACAGTTTCCTCACCCTAATTCAAGGAGTCTGGGGACTCCTTGATTTATTTATTTATTTATTTTGATTTTGATTTATCCTGCACTTCCCCAAATTTTTGGGTAAGCATCACAGCGAGATCCCTCAGCTGCCAGTCTCCTTCCAGACATACTGGCCTGTCATCCCCAAGGGATGAAGAGGTTTAGTCCAGGCTCCCGAATTAACATCTTTCCAGCAAGGCAAGCGATGTGTTTAACATACATTTGGAAAACATCAGTGTGTTGGTCCCCAGCTGGAGAGCTCTGAGAGGGAACGTGGGAGGTAGAGAGGTGAGGAAAAGCTTTTATCTATGACAATTTTTTTTAGAAAACACAGAACCTGAATCTGGAAAATATCAGACTTACGGTGTTTGGTGTGGAAAATGGACTCCCCCACCTCTGCTGCACCCGAATTGCTTCTCTGGATGGTGTTTCTCGCACTTGGGGCAAAGCTGCTCCATGACCACGAAGCTCCCACTGCTCAGGGGAGCAGCCCCAGGCCGCGTTTCGGGATGCAGAGCTCCGTGTTTCCTTTCCTCCACCCCCTGCCTCATTATTTATGTCTTTTCCACATCAGCTTCATCGCTCCTGCAGCAGAACCTTCCAAAGGCAGCATCTCCAAGGGCCTCTGCTCTGTTTGCTGCCTCAAATCCCAACCCAATCCCAGCACGAGCTCCTGCGCAGGCTGCATCTCCGCTGCCTTCCAGGCAGTTGGACCCACAGGGATGGCCAGGCTTCCCTGGGAACGTGCCATCCAGTTCTGATGAACAATCCTCAGGCACCTACCACACTGCCGATGCTCAATTCGTTTTTAGAACTGATATTTTTATTGTTCTGAAGTGTTCAAATAAGTATTTCTTTCCTTCTGCTTTTCACCTCAGGACAGAGGTGCCAAACTACTGCAAAAAGAAGCATTTTACCCCTAGCATTTCCAAGCCAGAAACACAAATACTCAAATTTTTCTTGTGAGGTTTCCATCCTTGTTCTGGACAGAGGAATAAATCCCACCGCAAAGCCTCATCCTCAGACCTGACCAGCCCCTGCAGTTCCTGTGGCTGCGCAGCTCTCAGTGCCGCATCGTAGGTTTGGTACAGCATGGTGTGAACTTAGAGCATTGTAGAACTGATTTAAAACCAGGAGGAGTGAGAGTGACCCAGGAACCTCAGCCAATTTGGCCAGCCTTAAAAGGAGCATTGGGAAACATCACGCTGCCTCGCACCAAAATCAGTCTCCAATTCCACGGACATCCCTACATCCCTAATCCTTGCTCTGCGTGTGCAGCACAAACGAGATCCAAAGCCAGGGCAGAGCTCTGCTGCGTTACCTGCTCTATGGTCATCGGTCCTTTTCCTGATCACAGGAAAGGGCAGCCCTTGAGGATGGCCAAGGAGATGAAGTGTGACAGTGTCAGCGGTGCAAGACACCGACCACCTTGTTCAGCAGCCGTTTCTGCTCTTTCCTATTAAAACTTTGCTTCCATTCCAGGGAATGCCAAACTGCTGTGTTGCTGCCTGCCCTATATTTTATTTTAATCAAAAAGACAGGGCAGAGCCCTGCATGCAACAGCAACACAAATACTTCAAGGGTGGTGGAGCCCATTGAGAGAAGTGGAACCTCCACCTCCAGGGTGTAGGATCTGCTGCAGCCTCTCGGCATGTTGGCTTCCCTGTCCTGCATGCGACTCCCTGGCATCTTATGCACACAAATTGCCATTAAATCAGCAAGGCTGCAGGGTGGAAGGACTTACCACTGTGCAGCAGAGAGGCCAGAACCACCAGAGAAGGGCCAGGGCCAGCAGGAGGAAGAGGATCAGCAACGCGATAGCCAGGATAGTCCCATCCGACTGCAAGAGAAACGAACGTGCGTGAGCTCCGTTATCCAAACCCCCCTTTCCAGAGCATCTGGCCAGGTCCTCTTCTGATTTTCACAATTATGTAAAAATACCAATCCCACTTTGAAGCAAAACCTCCATTTTCCTCAGTATTATAAAGACTGAGAAAATAATTTCCCATTAAACAAGAACATAGAACAACGTGACATTTCGCTGCAGTTTCAAGCACTTTCTTTGCAGTTATTTCCACTTTTCACCTAAGCCTGAAAGTAATGTCAGAACTAAAGCTTATTCCAACCGGAAAACTTCAGGAAGGAGATTTATCTGCCCAGGATTCAGGTCCCATTTGAGCTGTCCTTGCTGCAAGAGTCAGACATTAAGAAAAACTACTGAAATGCCAAGATCACAAGGGCCTATTAGGGAACCGTTATATCTTAGCTTATATCACTATATATCGAAGCTTATATCACTGCATCCCCTCGCTGCCCGCACTGCTTCGAGTGCAGTCCTGACCTTCTGAACTGCCAGGAAATCAGAAAAATGAAGAGGAACAAATCTTTTCACACCTAATTCCTGTCTGCATACGTGCCCTTATGTCACAGATGTATTTTATTCATTACGAATACTCAATTTGAGCAGAAAAAATAAAATGCCCTTTACCTAGTTCAACACCTTTGTGGTGTCCTTGCCTGTGAGCTGGGCTTTGAGGAATTTTATTAAAAATCATATAAAGTGACCCGGATTCTGTTTTTATCTTTATTTCACTGTTACCTGCTGTATTTTAGCTATCATTCAGTGCAATATCCATGGTTTTACAAGGCTCAAACTTAGCATGGCTGGAAACAGCCGTTTTATCTGAGATGAATAACAAACAAGGCAAATAAGCCTGCTGAAGCACTTAGCAGAATTTCCACTGACATTTTGAAATCTTTCTCCCGGTCTTATAGGTGGTTACGAAAGGAGCACTGAAGACTTTTGAAGTGTCTGTTTTGATTTTTTTTTAATCAAAATTTGGAAGATAGCACCAATGTCCACGGAAACACTGAGCCATGGAATATTTCAACGATCTGGGCTTGACACAGTTGCTGAATAAAGGCTGGCGACTCTGACCAAACACAACTTTTGTTCTAAAGACAGAAAGGAGAATTTTTACACGCAACTGGTTAAGTTTTCAGGTTATTTTTCCCTAAAGGAAGCTTCAATTCCGACCCTTCGTTTTGCAGGAGTTTTGCTGTGTGGTTGAGTAGCTGCTAGGGCATGTAAGAAACCCAACCACGTTCAGGGAATCAGCACAAGGCACTCTGGAAAACTCAAGGATGATCCCAGAGAGGAGCCGACTGCTCCGGGGACCATTGGCTGCCTATGGAGCCTCTCCGGCCGCAGCGGAGCATCCGAGGCCGTCACCCGGCCTGGCTGCGTCACCCCGGGACAGCCTGGAAAACTGCCCACATTCCTGGGAGCACGGAAACATCCGAGCAGCGGGGACAGAGCTCGAGACGATCCTGCTGCTGCTGCAGGAGTGACTCAAATGCCACTTGTCACTCCCGAGTCCTGGGTCACAAAGGAGAAAAATATCATTATATTCTAAGGAAGGGGGAAGCTGCACATCCCCTTCCCAGGCTGGCACACTATATATTGAAAAGCACAGTCTCTCTAAAAGGATTTTCCAGGACAGAATGCCAGGCTAGAGCTGCACACATGCTGAAAACCTTCAGGGACATGAGCAGGAAAAAAATGAAGTGCTTTCCAGGAGGGCGGCAGAAATCCTGCTGGCAGTTTTGAGGGATCATCCAAGAGGAAGAAGATCTCCTTGCTCCTGAGAAAGCAGCAATACAGCTGTGGTTTAATGCCCTTTAGTGAGGAGGGCAGAGGGAGATGCCTTTTCCCAAGGGAGACGCTCTCCGTTTCTGCCCGGCTCTCTTGGGGATGCTCTCATCCCAGAACGGAAACCGGAGCCTAGCGCTTGTTTTATCACACCCGTAGGATTGTTTTTTTAATATAACAGAAATAACCTGGCCTAACTAACCACAAAGCAGCAGCGGGAAGCAGGGGCTTATCAGGCTGCTCCTGCAACAGGGCCTCTTGGGGCAGAGCAAACATCCCTGCTCCCCTATTGCTGATGTGTTTGCGCTTATGAGAGCGGGCTGCTTTTTGTTCCTTTCCAGAAGAAAAAATCACACATTTCCAGCTAAAGAGAAGTGCCAGCAAGTCGAGAGGCTTCCAAAAGGCTCCATTCTGTCCCTGCTGTTACCTGCTCTTGGCCAAGCTTTAGCAGCCTCGCAGCAAGCAGGGATGAAAGCAGCAGAGCTCAGGCCTTCAGCTCTGGCTTCCTGACTACACACGAGGATCCCGGATCATGATCCAGGATCGCGATCCGAGGATCATCACATCCTACCGCTGCAGGCAGAGGTCTCAGCCCTCCTTCTGGGTCCAGCCTGCGCACGCACTTGCCCTGAAGCAGCTTGAATGCTCCTCAACTGCATATCTGGCTGTAGATCTTCCTGTTTTGGGAGGCAGCACTGAGGAAAAGTATTCTGAACCATTCTGAAATATAATATGAATAAATGATATGAAAACTATTCTGAAAAAGCAGCCCCTTATCCCCAGGCGCTCTAGATAAATAACAATCTCCAGCCTGCGCACGCACTTGCCCTGAAGCAGCTTGAATGCTCCTCAACTGCATATCTGGCTGTAGATCTTCCTGTTTTGGGAGGCAGCACTGAGGAAAAGTATTCTGAACCATTCTGAAATATAATATGAATAAATGATATGAAAACTATTCTGAAAAAGCAGCCCCTTATCCCCAGGCGCTCTAGATAAATAACAATCTTTGAGGTAAAAGCTAAGGAGTTACTTGGTTTACATTAGTGCCTGAAGGCAGCCCTGGACAAAAGTATGTTAAATCCATCCGGGGGGTGAGCAGCAACTGGAATAAGAGCAGACAACAAAATGCCACGGAATTACTTTGTCCCGGCAGCAACACCATTTATGGTTTGATTTGAGGTTACTCTTTTGTGAGGCAGGAAAGGGAGAAAACCAGCCTGCTCCTGCGCTGGAATGTCCTGTCTCCGTGCAGGTCCCATGGATTTGCAGCATTTAAGCAGCCCTGTTGGAAAGTCTTGCACCCCTCGAGCTCATTGCCAAGCAAAGAGCCCCAGGAAAGCTGGCTCCAAGTCAGACAAGGTTAAGAGAAGCCCATAAACCAGGAAAAAGAGTGTTTGGAGCAATATTCCTTCTGAAACTCGGTTCAAATTAAACATGCTGTTTGTAATACGCCTACTGTACTTGTGGGTATTATAAAATAGCCTAGGTAACGGTGCTGGTTAAAATTGTTTCGCTCTTTGGGTGACCTGTATCAGCAGAAATGTTTACTGTCTATTATATTTGCAGCATAAGGTAATTAAGAGTGGTTTATGTTGGAATTCAACCTGAAATGACATGCCCTGGAGTTCCCACGGAGCAATACCTCAGCTCATATACAGGTCAAGGGCCTAGGAAAGCGCTCCTTAAATTTCCTCTGCAGTTTCATAAAGGCTCTATTGATACAATAACGAAGGAGCTTTAATTGCCTGCAGACTTAGGGACACCGATAACCAGCAGAGCCTCAACCCAGAACTATTGAAAAAAGCAGCTTTAGCCATGAAATACATTCCCTTTAAATAAAAACAGACCTTCAGCGGAGTCATTAGTTTTCTACTCCAAAACTCGAGTGTTTTCTCAGTTTTGTTTTCCTCCACATTTTAAGATCAAACCCATCCACTGGTCAGCACCTAACTGGAAGCGTTCCGGTGTCCACCTCCTTTTGGCCCAGGCTGGGTTAGGAGACCTGGAGTTCTCCCATGCACGTGGGATATCTCCCCGGTGTTCCCTGCGCACAAAGAGGTGCCGGGTGCTTCCCGGCGGGAGCCGCGGGCTCCTCGAATCCCAGCCCTGGAGCTGCCCATGGAGCCCTCCATCCCACCTGCTCCTGCAGTTTTCACCTCCCGGCCAGTTCGGAGCCCGGAGCTGCCGGTGCCGGAGGTCAGAAGCGGCTTCTCCCCTTCTGGGAGAGTTCAGAAAATGAACAAAGACTTATTTTAATTCCCAGCCTGGCTTCTCTCCGAGATGCTCCAAAGAACTTGGCAGTCAGTCGAATAGGAGTGACTTCCTGCCTGGATGCATTGCCTAAGTTAATTTTCTTCCACTGTACATTCACTTTCCTGGTGACACTTGGTGTGCAACCCGCTCTGTGCTCATCTGCAGCACAGCCATTCATAAAAACAACATCTAAATGGGTTCTCCCTTTCTCCCTCTTTAGCTCTTCTGCAAACTCCTAACCTGGGAAAAGGAGTAAATCCCTTTTGAAAGGGTTTCCTGACTCCGCCAGCCGATAGCTGCTGGTTCTTCCTCCAGCAATGTGAAAACCAGGGCAACATCTGCTCTCCAGGCATTGATAAGTGCAAATGGAAACAAAAGCTACTGTGTTCACAACGCTGGGGCCTAACACAGGGCAGCACCTGCATAAAATCCATCTCCAAAGTTAAGAGTGGGGAAACAGCTCGTGGCAACAAGAATTGACTCCGCCAGCCGATAGCTGCTGGTTCTTCCTCCAGCAATGTGAAAACCAGGGCAACATCTGCTCTCCAGGCATTGATAAGTGCAAATGGAAACAAAAGCTACTGTGTTCACAACGCTGGGGCCTAACACAGGGCAGCACCTGCATAAAATCCATCTCCAAAGTTAAGAGTGGGGAAACAGCTCGTGGCAACAAGAATTCGGTTCTTCCCAGGCTATGAAAATACACCATTTATTGTAAAGTGGGAGCTAAGCACATCGAGTTGCTCCTGAAGCCCTTGCAGCGAAAGCGAAGAAAGCTGTATTTCCAGCCAGAAAATACCAAATTAGTCAGAAAAACACTCTGAGGCTATAACGTAGGTATCTGAAGATCAGGGCAGATCAAACGGAGACATCTAATAACCCAACTAGCCTTCCAAAATCAATGTATAGGCTTCACTGTATATCTCTTTGTACCC